GCACACCAAGAGAATGTCATCCACATGAAAGTTCACATGGATCTTCCTCATCAGGTTTTCATGTGTCGCAACACTGTGAGTGAACCAGGAAAAGATCTCAGCCCTGCGGCTTCACAAATCTTTGCAAAGTGTTGATGCCATCTGAGCGCTGCATTGCGCTGTCCTGGCCAGCACCTTTGAAGTAGCCAGTGTGTCTCTGGCCTTCCTGCACGTTCACGCACCCATTGCGGAATCTCTACATACATCACTTCCACCTGAGGTACCATCAAGAATGCATCTTTGATGTCGAGAGAGGTCACTGCAAGACCATACACAACTGCAAATGTAAGTAGCATTCTGACTGCAGAGAAGGCCGAAGTTGGAGAAAAACTGTCTTCATCAGTGTTGGTTGTTCGAAACTCCCTAGCAACGACACAACATCTGCGAATCCAACTGTTGCCTCTAAAACGCGAGTCGAATACCAGGGTAGTATCCACAGTGTTCTCCTGCGCAGCTTCTTCCAGTGTCAATACCACCGGCTGGATAACTTCCATGCTGCGCATCTTCTCCAGTCCGTCAAGAGCTGCCTGCTCATCAAGTTCTCTGAGCTTTTCACTGCTGACCTGTGAGGGTCCTTCTCCTTCAGCTTGATTTGAGATGCATTCATCCTCTGAGTCAGGAAATTGCAAACTGTCCTCCCAATCATCAACCATCACCTCAGGCTCGTGGTTGGGGCAAACTTCAACTTCTGCCACCTGATGCACATCACCATCTGTTCTAGCAGCTTTGCTCTTTGGAGCAACCACTGGATCATCATCCATCTTCTGAAATTTTGCACGATCACCATGTAAAGATACATTGGCTGGATGTTTGTGGGAGCTAGAGGGAAATTCCATTTCTTCATCGCCACTCACGTCATCATCTGCTGCAGTGACAGGAGCTTGAAGTAGATGCGGTGAGATCGCCCCACCTTGATTGGGATCTGCATGTTGCTCTCCCATTTCGCCAGCATGTTTCAAACCAACGTCCTCCCATGCTTGAATTTCAGTTTGATCACGTCGTTGAGCTTGATCTGAATCATCCAATGGTTCTGAAGCTGAATAGGCATCAGACAGAGTTTGATCTCTCACTGCCTCTGCCTCTTCGTCAATCATCTGAGGAGCTGGAGATGCAAGTGCAATGAGCTTTTGCTTGGCCTTCACCTGACGATGTCCAAAGAAGTCCATAGGTCCATCAGTCATACCAATGATGAGTTCAGCATCCCATTGGGTTGCTGATCTTCCTGATCGCTTTTGTTCGAATGATGGCTTGGCCATCTGTGCAAATGAGGTCTATCCCTGATGTATCTTTTCCCAGCCAACAACCTTTCTTCCATGCTGGTTTGAACTTCGTCGCTTTGGGATCAAGACCAAAGACCGTCTGGCCAAAGGATGCCAATTTTCCATGGTAAGGTCGGCCTCGTAGAGATTGAAACGGTGTCACCTTCATTGTCGCATGAACTTGATACCGGTTGTAAAGCCATGCTGCATGCATTGCAGCCCATTGAATCACTGGATGACCATCTGGAATTGCAACCTTCAGTTCATCTTCAATGTGACACAGGACAGTAAGGTTTTCTGAATCCCTCTGACAGATTGAACAAACCTCTCGGCTATGCTTGTTCGAGCTTTGTCACCAACCTTGTTTGGACAGAGATGCGTCGTGAGCTCATTCTTGGCTCGCACTGATTTGCAAAATTTGGCACCTGCAACCAAAACAGGTTCATTGACATGCCAACTCCACTGTTCCATTCCAAATGTTTGCGCATTGCGTTGTTTGAGCGGGGCAACTGCCACAAACCTCGACCAAACATCAACCATGAGAAGCGCTACCACTGCACCTTCTTTCCCAGGCTCCATGAAAAAGAAATCGCACTGAATAGTTGGATGTTCTCTTTGAGCTTCACCTGCAGGATCTGAGACATGAGAATGTTGATTGGCACGTGATCTGCTCATCACGCAATACTTGCACCAAGGTTGAAATGGCACATGAGTTAGCTCATGCTAAGATCTGTCCTTGTCAGTCGGTTGCACTGGCACTGAAATTGGCTCTGCCTCTTTCTGCAATGCTCTGTACTGGTCATGCGCTGACTCCACCAAGCTTCGTCTCAAAGCTGTTTCCTTGGCTTTCTTGCATCTGTCAAACATTCTCTCCTTTGAACCAGACTGAGAAACTCCCAGCCATCTGCGGGCATCACGCAAAAGCTTGACTGAGGATGTAGCTGTAATTGTCAAGTCATCATGTATCACAAGTGACTCATCTTCCATGTACAGTTCGACATCTGGCGTTGCTTGGATTTCATCACCTGCTTCCATTTCAGGAACTTCACGCTGTCATTCATATCCTTCTGGAGGAAGGACATTTTTACTTTGGAAATCACTGGGTTTGCTTGCGGGAAGTTCGCGTCGCAAACTTGTACTGGGATTGCTTGCAGGAAGTTCGCGTCGCAAACTTGTCCCCTGCAACTCCTCTTGATCACATAGAACATCTCCACCACCATCTGTCATGACAAGCCCAAGTTCCAACAATGTTTGAGGTTGTACGCCAAGCAATGTCAAAGATTCACACTCACATTCAAAACCAACTGTCATCAAGAATTGATCAAACATCCCAAAAGGTTGACGTATGTCCTTGAACTTTCTGGACAACTCCACAACTGTCCATGTTCGATCCTTCTGGCACTTCCTGATCAAAGTTGTTCTGTAGTGCCAATAGGGCGACACATTCTCAGGGTTCACATAGTCTGTTGTCACCGTTCGAAAGAATGGTGTTCCATCTGAAGTCATCTCCCAGGTGTTCATGGGTGAATTTTCGATTTCATAAATAAAATAATATACCGTCGAATATTTAAACGCGTCCAAATATTTTACCAAAAATATTTTATAAATAAAAAGAAAGATGGCAAAAGAGAGATTCTTGTATTCCACAGGAATGCTAATTTCAATTCCAGGAGATTGAAGACTTAGACGGTTGCTGTTGTCATCCTTGTGAGTTGTCCAACCACCCTGATACAGCTGTCCAAGAGACACCAAACAGGACGTCACGTTTCCAACAATGAATTCATGCTGTAGAAGCACTTCTTCACCATCAGTTGTAGTTGCGATGAGCTCAGCCTTCTTTGTTCCAGTCGTTTGAAAAGATCCTCCCTGACAATTCTGCAAGGAACCTGATCCAACATCCATGCTGTTGTCAGCTTGGTAATGTGCTGGGAAGACTGACATCTGAACCGCTATCTAAGATTACCCATTCATGATCACCTTCTTCACCATTCACTTCTGTCCAATCGCAATCTGGATCATGAAATAAAACCACGCGCACCTGAGACAAACATGGAGAGGTAGGAGAGGTTGGGGGTGAAGGATTGGAAGGTGTACCACCAAACTGAAAGATTCTCCGCACTGTTGCTGTGGATTTCGCAGCATGAGTAGAATGGCTTGGAGGAATAGGTTCTTGTCTTCCTGAATCCTTCCGGGCCACGTTGTTGACAGACATATTGGGGCAATCACGACTCCAATGTCCAAACTCCATGCAATTGGAGCACTGCCCATAAGCCACTTTACTTCTGCCGCCTCCTTTCTGATCCACCTTTCTGATTTCCTTCTTTCCTTTTGATTTCCCCTTTGTCTTCCCCTTGCCTTTGCCTTTGTTGGTGCGACCACGGCCGCGTCCCCGACCATATAGCCAGTCACTTGCTCACTCACTGCCTCCAAAAGAGCCACGACCTGTGTTCTTGCCTTTGTGCTTCCCTTTGCTTTTCTCGACACGGTCAACTTCCATAGGCACAGGTCCATCATTGGATCCAGAAGCATAGTTGGGCTGATCATTAACATGCTTCAGCACCTGATCACTGGTCCAAGCCTTTGAGATTCTCTCATCTTATATAAGAACAAACTCAGGGAAACAATGTTAAAGGGGGCTGTGTTCCGAAGTTTCGTTGCACGAACGACGAACGTATGTCATAAACGTAATATACGAGATATCGCATATACGCCCAAAGTTATATAAATTACGTAAGACGGATGTTCTCCGTGGATACGCGTTCGTCGCAAAACGTCGAGGTGAAAATATGAAACATGACATGAACATGCAAAACTGAAACTGATGCAGTCAATTCGAAGGATGCCTCACTTTTTGCTCGCGCTCTGAGAGTCTGGGGCGTTTGCATCAAACGGTTTGTCTGAGCTGATGTTTGAAGACAGTTGGATGAATCTGTCTTTTGTTGTGTGAATCTCACTTTAAGTGAGTTGTCATCACAACGCTGCTCAGTTTAAGTCCCCCCCCCATATAAGAGGGTTTTGGGAGGGTGGGCCGAAAAAGTCCGGATGGTAGAAGAAAAGGTTTTTTAACCCTCCCTACCTCTCCCTTGATATGTAAAAAGCCACACGAATATAAAGTTGTGTGTGGTACCAAGGGGAAACATGACAGGTTGTTGAGTTTAAGGTTTGTTTACTAAAAGGTGGAACGATCAAGCAAACATCGTACAACATTAACACAGCCTATTAAACAAGTGTACATGTAACCCTGAGTTGCAAAATTTGTTTAGGAATTTTGCACTGTTCTTTTAAAGATAGTGCTCTCACTTCGTGATAGCACTCATCTTATATAAGAACAAACTCAGGGAAACAATGTTAAAGGGGGCTGTGTTCCGAAGTTTCGTTGCACGAACGTATGTCATAAACGTAATATACGAGATATCGCATATACGCCCAAAGTTATATAAATTACGTAAGACGGATGTTCTCCGTGGATACGCGTTCGTCGCAAAACGTCGAGGTGAAAATATGAAACATGACATGAACATGCAAAACTGAAACTGATGCAGTCAATTCGAAGGATGCCTCACTTTTTGCTCGCGCTCTGAGAGTCTGGGGCGTTTGCATCAAACGGTTTGTCTGAGCTGATGTTTGAAGACAGTTGGATGAATCTGTCTTTTGTTGTGTGAATCTCACTTTAAGTGAGTTGTCATCACAACGCTGCTCAGTTTAAGTCCCCAGTTCTTGAAGAGCAGTGTTGTATGGCGATTGATGCAACTTGAGCACCAGGTCTGCCATGTCAACTGAGGCGTCAAGGATACCACCATCTGTGAGGTTGTATTTTTGTAAAGCTTCTTCCAACTTTCCACGAGACGGCAAATCTGACGGGTTGGAAAAAGAACAAACCCTCTCAGTCCAAGAAAAGCTGGGCCAAAGAAGTTCCAAGTCAGCCAACAGCCTTGCCAGCACTTTCATGGATATTGACGGGCTGTTGGCCTTAATGGTGCAGACGCGGGCAGCTTTGTTGTCGATCCACTCAATGACGCGACGACCGTGCAACTGTTTGCGCAAGCACCACCTAACCGAAACCAAAGCCCATAACTCGACCTGCGAGATGATTTGTTCGCCAGCTACCCTAGTCCACAGTTTGATCAAGGCTTCGGGAACGGTGACCACGTATGCCATTCGTAGGGGGCCGTCTATGACCACAGCGCCTGCCGTAGCCAAGCCATTTTCATAGGCACCGTCAGTGAATATCAGGATAGGTAAGCTTGTATCTGCTAAAGAATGTACACGAGGTTTCTGTCCCTGCAACATCAGTTTTGCATACGCGCATAGGCTCACAAGCTCATCTTGATTTCGGGTGTGGTGACCTTCGGCGAAGGGCATGAATGCAGAGACAAGGTGTTTGAGCCCTCGCCCCATGTAGAAACTTACCGCAAAGTTGAGAAGACCCTGGATTTCGCTCGCTTTAGCAGCGCTCAAAGCGCGGTCCTTCTCAATCTCCTCCAGCATTTTGCAGAGTTTCTCAATGCGCGAAACTTTGTTGGAAATCGTGAAGGTTCTCTTCGGCAAGCCGTTTAAATCAAAAGTCACCCCCAAAAGGTCGAAGGTTGACGCAAAGCTGATTGCCTTGTCACCCTCTTTTGCATGCTCCCAGCCCAAGAGATCCAGCACTGCACTGAAAGCAAGGGTCAAAACTTTGCAACCTTCTGCCCGCTCTAAAGTTGGGAAGTCATCGAAGTAATGGGAAGTGACGCAATGAAGGACTTTTGAAACAATGAACCACAGGGCTTGAGACACCCTCACAAAACCATAAACACTGCCAGTGCAACCAAAGGGAAGAGAAACACTTTTGTAGAATCTCCATGTTCCGTTCACTTGGAAACCAACAACTGCATGGGCCTGATGATCAGGTAACACGGCCAGCTGTTTGTAGGCTTTGCTCAAGTCGAACGTCTTTCCAAGCCACTCGTGCAGCTGCACCTGCGCTCCTGCAGACATTCGCATTATTTCCATGACCATGGCTGCTGCGTAGTCCACATCTTGCAGTTGCAATTTGACGGTCGAAGAATATGCGGCGTTGACTGCACCTTGTTTTGCGTCATCAATGACGCGCACCTTATTGTTGGCCCCTTGGAAGAGGACGAACCTGGGGTTTAGAGTCCAATCTTCTGAACCCATGAGCACCGTCATCTCATCTTCTGTATACGGGCCCTGCAAAAACCCTCGATGCACCTCTTCTGTTGTGGCCTCAAGCAAGGCGTTCTCCTCTGACGGATTCACGCGCCGTGAGCTAGTCAGGATTGCTTGTCGACGCCACTTGGCTGTTCTCGTGAGTTCATCTTCAGTCATGCTCGCCGGTACCAGCTGTTTTTGATAACCTTCAGGAGCAGATTGCAATCCCACGAGAGGTACGCCCTGCTTCAAGAGATTGACCACATCCAAGTCCCAGTAGCCCAATTGCGAAAGAAGGCCTTCGAACAAGGAGATGTTTTTGGTTTGCACACATCTTCTGACGTCTGGGTGCATCGTGGCTTTCAAATCACGCTCCTTTTGGCTCAGCTCTGCAGACATCTTGCGGATCTTGAAGACAGCCTTCAGCCTTTCCTTTGCCAGTTTAGTGGGGCATGTGTTGACTACCTTGTCAATGGCCTCAGATGTAATGGGATGTAAAACTGATTCGTAATCCATGGGATGTCGAACGCCAGTTGCCTTCTGCAGGAATTCCTCTGGGCTGTGCCAAACACCATACTTAAAGGTTCTTCTGGACCGTTTGCACGGTGTTTCCTGGTCCTCGTGCTGCTCAGTGTTTTCTGCCCCCCGTTGGATAGGAGCAGCTAGCAACTTATAGGCTGAGCCAGACAAAGGGGACTCAGAGTGAACGAAGGTCTTGTATTCAGGAATGAGCGGCGGGTGACGCACTGTTTGCTGTCCCATGTTAAGTTTCAACAAGTCTTTCAGGCGAGGCTGAATTTGTGGGGTGACCCCAAGCTTTTTGGCCATTTGCAAAACACAGTTGGCCATTCTATCGCACAACAAGCTAGGATATTCAGCTTCAGCTGCAGTGGGGAAAGCTATGCCTTGTTCAGTTCTGAAAGGCTGCCAAGACGCGTGCACGTGATTTTGGGGACAGCAGGCCGCCAGCTCTGTAAACAATCCAGGGGTTGCAAGCAGCTTGGTTCGTTTGTCTCGCTCACTTCCATGTGCACACGCATCGAAATAAACGCTTTCCAAATTGGCAAACCATGAAATGAGGTCTTGCTTATGTGTTGCTTTGACCAACATTGCTAGCAATGCCCACAACCAAGATCTCGCAGGGTTTTCAATGGAAACTAGGCATCCCAAAACCATGCAAACTTCAAGAAGGTGGATTGCGCATTGATACAATTTGTTGGCAATGTCGACCTTTAATTGGTCCACTGGTCTCAGGTTTGGCAATCCCATGAGGTGTTCCGCATCTCTCAGTGGTGGTGGTCCAAGGTGGCCTCCAAATTTTGCAGGCATGGGTTTCTCCCTTGCCCTGGAGCATGTACCACATGGAAGGCCCATGTGAACGTGACACGGTCTGCAATGGCGCAGCATGTTTTCCAGTAGCTGCACCTGATCTGAATTTGAAACATCTAAAGTGAAAACCTTGACCTTCGTTGCATGCCGGTTTGCTGCGTGGTCAATCGGATAAACTTGAAAGCCAATACGCCTTAATGCGTTTGACAAGCCATCTGAGCCACAGCAAATTTCAAATGTCGTGGCATCCAAAGTGAAACTGTTGTCGATTGTGTTGAGCTGAAGTCAGTGTGGGCATTCATTGCCCGGGTGTAACTTGTGACATGCCTTCTTCCAACACATGTGATATCCGACCATGCATCGCTTCCCAGGCTTGACTTTGGCTGTGCATCTACCAATTTGCCATCGCTTGCAAAGCTGCTTTCCATCAACAAAGATCTCGCAGTCATCTGGCACGGCAATGCCTGGTGTGGTTTTCCCTTTTCCTTGTGATGCCTTCCCTTTGCTGTCCGAATGGTTGAGCCCTTACCCTTTCCAGGTGCAGCAGCTGTTCGTGCACGATCATGCACGTAACCTCCAGGGCCTTGTAGAGGGCTAAGGTGCTGCAAAACTTCAGCGTGTTCGGAAAACTTTGTGAAGGCAACATCAAAGGGCTTCTCGGCGCCCGTCTTCGGCTGCAGTTTGCCGCGTGTTTCGTTTGAAACCTTTACCCACAGCGCCTTGTCAGCATTGATCACCTGCTCGACGCTGATGTGCCTATAGTGGGCTACTGGAGTCTCGTTCATCTTTTCAAACAACTTCTGAGTCCACAAGTCCAACACAGCAAAAGTTGCTATACCCGACAAATCGTAAGCCAATGATCGCCTGAGGAACGCTTGGCGCAATCTGTGCTCACCCGTCACGTTGACATCATCCACTTTCTGCTTTTTACTGAGTCTCAAGCCACCAGACTGATCTAAGGCGAGTGCTGTGTCCATCTTGGCATGCAGTGCCTCGTCATGACGTGAAGAACACCTGTTCAGCTCGATGTATGTCACAACATTGTCCTCCAGCTGTTGGCAAACCTTGTCAATAAGTGAATGGGATGGTTCACTTTGCGGTGTAAAGCTGATTCCAGTCAGCCGGTTTTTCTGTTGTCCAATGCGATCCATTTTCTCTGCTAAGGGAAGTATTCTTGCTTCACTTGATTCTGACCTGTCTGCACGTGACTTCAGGTCCTCCAGCGACAGCGACCTGCCTACGAAACCTTGTTGTAGCAGCTGCATCAGGGGCACTTCCCAAAGCCGTAGCTAAGAAAGTTGTCAAGGCAGTGTCGTCTGTTTGACCAGGTTGGAACGTGCAACAATAAGCATAAGTTGCGTAACTATTGATGCCACCATCTGACAGCGCATCCACATCTGCCTGTGCAATTCCAAGTTCCACGGCCCTGTTCTGAAAGGCCACCTTTGAGTCAATCGCCATTGGTCGCCAGGTGTCAGTGGTCTGTGAAGACCCGAAACTAAAAATGATTTTCCTAAGGATGCGTTTTTGATACAAGTAGGAGTTGTTTCGAAGTAGCTGTTCAGAAAAACTTGAACATAGCCACGTGTGAAAAGCATCCCGTTAGTTAAAACCGTGCCACATCATTGCATGATATGTCTGATGCACGTTTTGTGCTGAGCCAGCGCAATGCATCATCACATGAAATGGACTGAGTCACTTGGTTCTGAAAACCTCTGCCGCATGATGTCATGCTAGGCATTGGGTTGCCAAATGACGTGTAACTTCATGAGTTGTTGTGACGCATTTGCAGCATGCTCCGTGATGATGTGTCAATGTATGAACATGGTGAACGCATGCTGAATATCCTATTAAAATTTCATGGACAACTCCAACATGTAGGTTCCTAAGCTGCACTTGGTATTTTGTGTCTGAGTTCAACTGCGGTGACAACAGGTCATTGCCCAAGAGCCTGAAACCGCTTCGTCACCTGAGCTCATCAACATTGCCCCTGTCCAGACGCTCTGTAAGCTTGAGAACAGTTTGCGCAAATCACCGCTTCTGTTGCTGAAAGGTCGTCCACCTCAGCTCGCCGAAAGGATGCAGACGCGTGTCGTCCACACCAAAATTTTTCATCTTCACTGACCAGTAAGTGGATCACTTTGGAATTGTTGTTGATGAGACATAACTCAACCTCCAAATCATCAGCATCCAAGCGTTTGTAACCAGGCTTTTGGGCAATGTCGTTGTGTTCACCATCCGAAGATGCAACTGAGGAAGCATCAGAGTCTGTTGTGGCATCACTGTCGCTGTCATCCCCTTGACTCTCCAGCATCGTTGCATAAGCCAACTGGAAAAGGCGGCTGACACGGGTTGCGTCAGGATCAAACAATCCATCCCTGATTTTGCCAAACATTTCATGCAGCTTCTTGCACAGTCCAATCTGATTGTCCCTAGAATAAATCATGGCTGAACGGTACTGAGCATGCACGTGGTGTCCCAAGGCCAATTGTTCATCGGCACTGAACAATGTGCTTTTGGCAGCCCAGCTCAGGAGAGTTGCCTTGAGGCCATGACCCGTCAATTTGCTAGCGCGGTCCGGACCAGCATGTGGTTCAAGCAGCTCCCTCAACCATCCAGTCGCTTCGGCAGTTGACATTCTTGACTCCACCCAGAGGTGTGCGCTCTCTGACCACGAGCACAAAAATTCATTCCAGGTGTCTGCATGGCTCTCGTTTCTGGCATCCATCCAACATTGCCCCCAACAATCATCAACTGTGATCTTTCCCAGGGCAGTGAACGGCAGCAGCTCCATCTGTTGCTCCTTACCCCTGGACGACTTGTGTTTCGATGTCAAGGCCTCCAAAAGAAAAATGTCACCAGCCTTTGACGAGTCCAGTGCAACAACATACATAGAGTCATGCCAACGTGCCGCAGCTGCGAAGCTGAACAAGAGGTGACCAGCTATGACGCGCCGGTGAAGTGCATCATCATGCATGCAAATGCGTTCCAGCTCCGAAATTTCAGTCACTGTCGAAACTTCTGCAGGTTTCCTGATGCGTTTCGTCATGAAAAATGAGTAAGCGGCCCCCGTCACCCTTGAACTCAGCATGTCTTGCAATCGCACCTGAGTGAAGCCCATCAAGTTGTCTGCAAACCTCATAGCTTCAACAAGCTGTGACGGCGTCGTTGAACCTGCTCCGGAGTCCCTCAAGTGGCAAATGTACTTGTACAACATCATTTCAATTTGACAAAAAGGAGACCCTGCACCATGTGATTGAAGCCAACATGAAAAGCGCCAAAGAGAGTTGCACCTCTTCAAGACCGTTCCCGTTGCTTTTGGGGCAAAAAACGTCCATGAATATCTGAGCTAGCTCGTCATCTGGGCATAAGGTTCCTGCAAAACTCCGAAGTGATTGGCCAAGTCGAGTTGCCTCCAAATCCAACAAAACCATTGTCTTAAACCTTGATAGAGCCAGGTGTCTGTAATCGTCCTGTGACGTGACCAACCTCGATGCCCTGATGCGTTGGACTGTAAGTTCAGTTTGTTGTATGGGTTTCGGAATTGAACTGCTAGAAGTCGAGGCAGTTATGTGATCTGAGATCCCAACCAGCGACATCTTGTTCTGACGTTGCAGTCGTTCCCAAAAGGGTTTTGGCTTCGAAAACAAGCTTGACAGCGGTCCCATTTGCCATGGCTGTTTAACATCTGAAATGAGTTTGTGAATTTGCATTGATGCCATCTCATCCGCCGTTCTTTTGACTGCTAAGCTAACTGAGGACAGAACTTCGGAAGGCGTAGCCTTTGCCTTGGGCTTAGGTCGCATGAAGCGCGGTCCAACCTCTTTAGCTTCCGTGGGTTGCGCTATGCATTCCGATGCAGCATTGTCATCCATGGCATTTTCAGGCAAGTCAAACAAGCTTAAATTCACTAGGTTCCACATGTTCCCAAAAGTTGCATACATCTGACAGTGAACCTTCAAAATTATCTGCATTTGGCTCTGAGGCGCATGCTGAAGACTGACTGCTCAGCCAACGCCCTCTGAAACCCTTGTGTTCTACCACCATTTCAGCAAAAATGACCTCAGCGTCCTGTGCAGCCAGCTGAGCTTCGTCGCCAGGGGCCACCGGCACGCCCGATTGATTTGCCAGCTCACGCAAGGTCACAATTGAAAGGGATGTGTTGCTGTAATTCGAAGGTGTGCAATTTGCTGTGCACCCATCTACCCCTGTATGCCGAAAAAGTCCGGATGGTAGAAGAAAAGGTTTTTTAACCCTCCCTACCTCTCCCTTGATATGTAAAAAGCCACACGAATATAAAGTTATGTGTGGTACCAAGGGGAAACATGACAGGTTGTTGAGTTTAAGGTTTGTTTACTAAAAGGTGGAACGATCAAGCAAACATCGTACAACATTAACACAGCCTATTAAACAAGTGTACATGTAACCCTGAGTTGCAAAATTTGTTTAGGAATTTTGCACTGTTCTTTTAAAGATAGTGCTCTCACTTCGTGATAGCACTCATTTTCCCACTGCTATTTAAAAGCCTTACAGGCACTCAGGCAAAACTATCAAAAAAACATGCGATTCGCGACCGCAGCTCACATCCGGGTGTCAAAGCACCCCCACCCTCGTTTCCAGCTAGAGCGGAATTTCTTGCCGTCAAGAAACGCGCTGGAACGATAGAGGCAAGCTTGTACATATATGGACCAGACATTGGTGGGATTGACAGGGGCAAGGTGGATGCCTAGAGCTACCTGACACCGTAACCCAAAGGAAGAGCCTAACGTATTGTTGATAACTGAAGTGTTAATGCGATGACACCGATGACATTGATGTATTAGTCGTCCAAAACCCATATCTTGGCTAAAGAGGGGAGAAACAAAACCCAACCTTGAGATAAAGTCAATCAAAACAATGGACCATGGGGTAAAAGCAGTGATTGGCGATGTCCCACTGCACCAATACGCTTCGCGCATAAACCGGTGAATGGCATCAGCGCAATGCGGAGAGCTAACAGCTTTATTCCAAGCTAACAGAAAACCGTTGACCCAAACATACCGTTCCGCCAAAACGTGTTCTTGCGTCGCCAACATAACAAGGGGGCCCTAAACGTTTGCGTTCAAACGTAGAACTTGCGTCGTAACAACAAACAGGGGCCCTACAAATTTGCGCCAAACGTAAACAACGACAAGCAACCTCCGAAAACAAAATACGACATTCAACAGAAACAAACCGCACATGTACAACTGAAAAAGGTAACATGGCACTCACTCTTTTTCTAGCACAGTGGAGATATCACTCAGGCCTCGTTAAGGGGCCTAGACACACGTGCGTGAAACAAAAAATCTGGATATGCAATCCGATCAAAAAACCGCACGTCTAGCAGAAAGATAGGGGGGGGCACAAAAAAACGAATCACGTAAGAAACGTTGAACCCTCCCACCCTCCCTTTGGAGGTATTGAACTTGAAATGGCCACCATTGGCATTTAGTTCAATTTACACCTGTGTGCAAAAGATTCAGCAGATGTTTACAGAAAACAACAAGCTGAAAAAACTTAAAACCGAGTTGGGGAAAACAGTTCACTGAAGAGTTACAAACGTAAAATATACAAGTTGATTGCAGAGAACGTTTGCATTCAAACGCACAGCCAGTAACCTCTTCAAGTGATCACCCAACTCAGAAGTTTCCTCAGGTTAGAAGTTTCCATCGCAACGCACGCGAGAGGGAAAGAGGAAACGCAAGGTGCACACGCAAGAGAGGAAGGGAACGGGAAGGAGAAGCATCAACTAGAAGCTGCATTCAGCTTCTTTTTCTTTACGCAAGGAATAAGGTTACATCAGCGCGCTGAGTCGCAACTTATTCCAAGCTAACAGAAAACCGTTGACCCACACATACCGTTCCGCCAAAACGTGTTCTTGCGTCGCCAACATAACAAGGGGGCCCTAAACGTTTGCGTTCAAACGTAGAACTTGCGTCGTAACAACAAACAGGGGCCCTACAAATTTGCGCCAAACGTAAACAACGACAAGCAACCTCCGAAAACAAAATACGACATTCAACAGAAACAAACCGCACATGTACAACTGAAAAAGGTAACATGGCACTCACTCTTTTTCTAGCACAGTGGAGATATCACTCAGGCCTCGTTAAGCCACGGTCCCCACCCATGCTTGTGTGGCTTTCCACATACTTCAAGCTTTCGTTGAAGACGAGTGCAACTTCCCCTTCGGGAACGCGGTTTGAATCTGGTAGCAATTGGTGTCGGATCTTTCTAGAAGGATAATCTGATAAATTTGATGCCGAAGGCACACGGCTGTACCAAGGGAGGACGTAAAAATCGTCCAACTGCTGTGCCACCATCTGGCAAATCAGAGAAATTGCAAATGAGTCGGAGTAACCTTGAATCAAGGCAAACTTTGCACCCTCATTATCTATGTAAATCATAACCTGGGAGGATGTGACAAGTTCCGCCCATAGTTTCAGGGCAATGGCAACTGCAAGCGTTTCAAACTCTCCAATAAGGTTCTTGCGTCCCTGCTCAAACCAAGCTGTAAAACGTTCGGTTCCCACATGAAGTCCAAACCAAGAAATTATGTTACCATCTTGAGTCGCAAGGAAGGCACCGAAGCCTCCACCATCCTTCATGCTGAAGCTGGCATCTGTGAAAATGAAGAACGTTTCCAGAAAGTAGCCTACGCCTCAGAAGCTCAAGGGAATCTACCAGTCTCTCAGAAAGACTGGTCACAAAAGGATTGGCATAAGCATGCTTTGTAATATCCTGAAGGGCCAACTTACCTATTCGACCAAAAATAAAAGAATCGCAAAATGCCAGTTTGCCACGCAAGGTCAGTGCATCTTTCTTTGCTAACTTTCCATCACGCAAAAATGTTTCCAGCAGCAAAGTAGTGTCTTCAATTCGCTTGGCTGTATTGCGAACTTTGAGAATCCCTTTAGGCGAGTCCTCCAAGTCAAACTGTACCCCAAGGGCCGATACAATTCCAGAAAATGCATCGCTCTTTGGGCCCTCACGGTCAAACTGCCACCCAAGGATGTCAAGCATCAAGCACAAAGTAGCCTGGCTATTGTTGCACAAGTTAGGCATTGAAAAGGCAACGAAGTCGTCGAAGTAGCAAGTCAAAGGCAGGATAAAAACCCTAGCAGCAATCCACTGTAGAAATCTGGCACACCTTATAAAAGCATTTACAGCAGATCTTGACCCGAAGGGTAATGCTACTTGTTGAAACAGCTTTGCAGACCCACTGGACGGGTCATATACAGAAAGGTAGGAGTGCTGCAAGGACTCATCGGCAATTGCAAGCTGCCGGTATGCCGATGCAAGGTCCAATGACCTACCTCTCAGACAAGTATCCAAGCCCTGCTCTTCCAAGCATCGCATCAAGTAAGTGGCATAACTGCAAATGACATCAGGTCCATCAACCGTCGCCTGCTCAAATGTATTTACCGTGGAGTTGACCTGGCTTTGACTTAGGTCATCAATAGGCCTCACTTTCCCCGATTGGGATAGGGGGAACCTACGAGAAACTGCTGCACCCGTGGGCAATTCGTCCCATGGTAAAGGACCCCGCATCCATCCTTTGTCCACCTCCGCAAGAGTTTTTGTCCACAGACCTTTATCCAGCTCATCATCACCGCTGCTCCGCGTCATATACCTCAGAGCTTTGCTGGCTTTGTCTGAATGCCTATGCAAATCTTCTTTTGAAATAGTAGCGGGAACCAACTTGGGAGGAAGCACAGAGGACATTGGGCTATCGCCAACCAAGCTGAAGCCATGCTCGATGTCATCTGCAAGGGTGTGGTCGTCATATCCCTCCTGCTTAATCAGGTGTTTCATCAAGGCTATGCGTTTCTTTTCATGTGCCTCCTGGCTGAAGGCATCTTGTTTTTGATCTCCGCCTCCTCGGCTTGAAGGGACTTCGCCAGACGCAACCATTCACCAAGCTTTTTACACCTCCAGTTGACAATGTCCTCATGCCTCCAGCTTGCTAGTTTTTCGCAAGCCAGTTTGACCTCTGGTAGAAGGCCTGAAAACTCTTTAAAGGGATGCCCCACCATCACAGCTCTCTTCAAGAAATTCTCGGGGGACCAACGCACACCAAAAACCCAGTCAATGCAGTCCTCTGTTGTTTGTTTCTGCTCCAAGGTGAGTTGAACATTGCTGCATGGACCTTCAACGCGATTGCATGTCAGAGGAACTTCCTCACCAGCAAAACCACCAGAGTTTAAATCGCCCAAAATATGGAGTGAGGGGGTGCAATCCACAGAATAATTAAAAAGACGGTTCTCTCCCCCCTTTCTGTCTGTCTTTCGAAGCAACTTGCTCCCACAAGGCACTAAAAATTGCGTGCCATCCAATTGCACCACAGTGCATCGTTGTAAACAACCATCCAATAAATCAAAAGCAAAATTACTTGGCAAACTGCTCACCACCAGAATGTGGGAAAATTCAGGGACGGCCGGCAGGGATGTCAGCTTGGACGGTTGTTTGCCCGCTGCAATGGAATGAAAATGTGACAACTTGAGCCGCTTTGACACCTGAGAAACATTTGGCAAATCAAACTGACCTGCAATGGACTCCAAAACAGTGGTTGCAAGAGCTTTGGCAAGCTGAGGTGTATACTCCGCCTCTCTGGCAGTATCGAAAATACCATCATGTATGCTCCAGGGTGCATGCTCATGGTCACCCGTGCACAAAATATTCAGAGCCATGATCGCCTTGTTATTGGAGGCCAAGCAGGTGCGCTTCAAACGCAAGCCGCCAAACATACAACTATGCAGTTCACAATAGAATGGCTTCAACTTCGTGTCAACCTCAACCCAATAGCTTGTTAACCACATCAAACTCGTCCAAGGGTTTTCCACAGTCCATGTGATATTCAACTTGTCCAGCTCAAAAATAAGTTCGGACATGAACCTGTAAAGTCTGTTGGCGGCTCGCAGTCTTGCAAGGTTAGAGCCGCTCACACCTGGTAGCCCATTTGGCCAGCGTGAGCTCCTTAAAGGTGGTGGACCATGATGCTTCTTGCTAAGCCGCTTGAACCTTGCCTTCGATGCTGTCCCGCAGGGTACGCCAAAATGCACCCACAAGCACTTACCTGAAGTTATCCAGCCGGTGACCAGCTTCTGATGGTCCTCCCGCGTCAAATCCAAACAAATAACCTTCACACGTTACTTCGCAACTTTATGATCCACACCAAAGCTATCTGGAAAGAAATGTTTCATTGCAAACGTCAGGTTGCCTGAGCCGCAAAATAGTTCAATGCAAAAATAACCACTCGACCCAAATTCAGGTTTCACGTGCGTCGATTTTTCGGCACGTTCATTATCCATGTGTTGGATCGGCCGTTTCCTTGCAGAAGAGGATGAAACATTTTGAGCATGTAGTCACTGATGCTCCGTCTGAGGATGGTTCTTGTAGCACCCAGGCACAGCACAAACATGCTTGCGTGGGCATGCCGATCCTTGCTTGCATGTCACAAGATTGTAGCCATAACAAATCTGATCCCCTTGGGGTGTTCTGGAATGCATTCCCTTAAGACCTGATGGTACAGGCTCACGCTTCTTGTTCTTTCCTTTGCCCTTGCCTTTTGATCCCTTCTGAAACTTATTTGGCTGAGGCTTATCTGCATTGGCCGTCTCCTGCCGCTTCTTGTCCACTTTGTTTGCATCACCTTGCGAACCACTTGACCCAGTCTGCGACGGCACCGGCAGCATAAAATAGGTGACTGAAACATCTGATTCCAGCCTCTCAATCATGGGGTCCAATGGCTTCCCAGCCATAGGCATAACCTTCAATGAGCCATTGAAAGTTTCACTCAAGCGTATAAACGCCTGACGATCAGCTCTAAGAAGCTGGGCCTGGGAAACCTTCTGAAAGCCCGGTGCTGCAGGTTGGGAAAAAATTGCAAACATGCGATCCGTCCACTTTTTCATCACCTCATATGAAGCAAGGTTTGTAAGATCCATTGCTAATGCTCTACGTTGCATCGCCTGATACAAAGCCAAGTCTGACGTGAGGTTGATTTCCTGCGTAACTGGCTGCTCCTTAATGACCAGACCAGTTTTCGACGCATCCAGTTGCAATTCTTTTTCCGGCTTGGCTCCTGTAAGTTCTTGTTGCCTCGACAAACATTTGGAAGGACTGATGTAGGCCACCTCATTGCGCTCAACCATCTGCGCACAAAGGTCGTAGAGCCCATGTGCTGGCTCTAAGGGCCCAGTGATGTCCAAACCTCGAAGTTGATCTCGCTGACGTGTCAACCTTGCATCACGCTCTGGGGCAGACATCTTCTTGGGGACAGTGTCATCCCCTTTGGCGGCTGACTTGAAGCGATGGATCATAAGGGTCTGGCTCTCGAAAAGAACCCTTTTGAAGGCAGCAGAATCTGCTATGGTGGCCACAACACCTGGTCTCATATTGTTCAAAAAGCGCGTCACCTGATCATCAGTTGCAACCGTTCCTGGACTAGTAATTGCAAAACACAGCTTTGCAAAGGTGGCCACTCCATTCTCCTTTAATGAAGTGACCCATGGTTCAGAAAGCCCACATTCTTCAGCCTGTTGGGCGAAAGTCGCCTCCGAATCCAGCAATGAAGAAAGAGCCATCAGCGCCCGACCGATCAAGTGAGTGAAGGAAGCAATTGTGAAGATGAACGCATTTTGCAAGACACTTCCTGTTGAAACAAACTTCACAAGTCAACAAAGAAAAATTTAACAGGAGAACATGCAATCAAGATGAAAAACATCAGTCTATGACAGCATGCTCATACTCAAGCTGTTGACCTTTGTCAAGGCAGCGCAATCGCTGCAAAGCTCCTTTGAGCATTAAAGATGCATGTTGCTTTCAACTCAACGCATGCTTTCTCACAGTTGCCATCAACTGCTATGCGCCTCCCAATCACCAATATTGACCGCTCTCAGCCAACTATGATGATTCACTGATAAATCTGAAAATGACAAGTTGCATTCAACAAGTTGGATTAAATCAAAGCATCAACTTCACAACGAGAAAAACAGGCGCACAATTTCCGTCTGACACAAGGTTCAATCCCGCTTTAAACGTTTGGCCTTTGCCGCATCGAGTGCCTCTGCCATTGCAGAAGGTGTAGTGATAACCTGGCCCTTGAAGCAACGGCTGCATCTTGCATTCAAGGTTGAGCAGCCTTCTTCTAAGAGCTCAAAAGTGGCAGCTGAAGTCAGTCTGTTACAAAGGGTTCTGCCATCCACCGTTGAACACTTGTGCACAACATGAGACTTAATATTTCTGAGAACTGGACCCTCGATGAAGTCATCCCTGCGCGCAGCTTCTGGTGCAGTGTCATCGTCTGCATCCGAGCTGCTTGAACTTGTCGATGCCAAAGAATCGCTGTCATTTTCACTTTCATCACCGCCCTGTCTCTTGCTACCCCTCGCTGATGAAGCAGCATCTTCAAGGGGCGTAGTAGGGGCTACATCATCATCTGTCTCCACGCGATGGTCTTTGGCTGCTGCAACTGTTCTCAAGGCTGCATCTGCATCCTTGCCAGCTGTTTCACCCTGCTGAATTTTCATAAGATCCAACATCCTCGAAGTCCTTGATGCATCTGGCCTAAAATGGTCTCCTCTGATATTCTTCAACATGCTACAGTACAACTGCAATGGGCGTGTCAGCATATCCCTTGAGTACACTGCCATTGCACGAGCACCCTGCAACTCATGGTGCCCCAGCAATGTACGGGCCGGCTCATCCAAGCCATAAGAACTCGCCCAGCTCAACGTGGTGTGCTTGAAACTGTGTGAGGTCAACTTGTCAGAGTCTGCAATCTTCAAAACTTTGTTGATAAATGCAGAAATCTCATCAGAGGTGCATGATCTTTTGCAAAGGTAACCATCGGTTCCAGGGGCCCTGCAGATAGGCCCAAAAGGACAAGCATCTTATTTCAAAACTTGTGGCTGCTAACCCCATGACCTACCCCCCACATGTATACGCCGCAAAACCAAAAGGGATAAACGCCAAACTGAACCAAGGGTGGCGGGGAAAATGCCAAACTGAACCAAGCGCCCCAAACGAATGCAGCTGTGAAAATGAAGCCAAGAATGTTAAATCACTGCCGTCAAATGAAATCCGCTCCACAACTCTTTTTCCATCGGTGACATGGGGATCGATAAATCCTGTGTCACAGTATTGGCTGGGCATCAGCCACAAGCTCCATTGATACATCCAGGATGTAAAGACTGTCATGTTGAGGAAATGAATCGACACATAATCGAATGCCTTTCCACTGCTCTGCAAAGAAAAATGAATCACTGTTCAGCATCTCCCGAACTGCACACGTTGAAAAAATCCTCGTCAAACACGTCAGGACAAGCTGTACATCACGTACAGTAGCAAGAGAGTACAGCAACAGGAACATATAGTTCCGAATGAGTTGACCAAGTGATGCACTGTGTGAACTGTGCACTCGATGTCGTAGCTGTACAAGGTTGTTTTTGCAAAGGGTGTGGAGGGTGGGGGCAAAACAACCTCAAAATAAGAGGTGTCCCACCACCCACCCTCAGCCAAATTCCACGGCCATAACATAAAATGAAATGTCCACCGAAGTTTCTGAAGGATGAATTGCAATTCAGACATTGTAAATGAATCCAGATTCCGAAACCTGTGAATGTGTAAAACACTCTGTTGAAACGCAGCATCATCACAAGTGTTTGCAAATAAACGGTTCAGTTTCACTGTTCAGTTGTTGACCTTTGGTTCAGCATAGAAACCACGAAGAGTGATAGGAAGGTAAGACAGAGGGAGATAGCAGCACGAAACTTTGTTTCTCACAAGTTTTGAAATAAGGGGCTATCAACAAGTTGACCGCTTACTTATTTCAAAACTTGTGGCTGCTAACCCCATGACCTACCCCCCACATGTATACGCCGCAAAACCAAAAGGGATAAACGCCAAACTGAACCAAGGGTGGCGGGGAAAATGCCAAACTGAACCAAGCGCCCCAAACGAATGCAGCTGTGAAAATGAAGCCAAGAATGTTAAATCACTGCCGTCAAATGAAATCCGCTCCACAACTCTTTTTCCATCGGTGACATGGGGATCGATAAATCCTGTGTCACAGTATTGGCTGGGCATCAGCCACAAGCTCCATTGATACATCCAGGATGTAAAGACTGTCATGTTGAGGAAATGAATCGACACATAATCGAATGCCTTTCCACTGCTCTGCAAAGAAAAATGAATCACTGTTCAGCATCTCCCCTCTTAACCGCCGATTCCAAAAGTATTGTGAAAATGTCCTGCAACTCAGATGAAGGAATTTTACGCTCAGATCCGGACTCCAACAGGTGTTGAACAACTCCACGGGAGGGATCATCCGCTATGTTGGAAGGTGTGGGCACACGAGTGTACCAAGGTGTGACGTTGGTGGCCATTTCCAGCTTCAAGAGGAATTCTACTAAAACATTGGCAACGCTGTTCCTACCACACCCAGAGATTGCTACATCTCTCGCAGAATTGTTGTCCACAAAGCATATGATACTGGATGACCCAATGATTGACTTCCAGACAGAAAAGGCAAGCACCATTGCCAGTAATTCGGCCTCAAAGATGATAGTCCTTTTGGATCCTGCTCCCAGTGCGTTTCGCTGCTCCGCTGATAACTCAACTGAGAAGAAAGCTACCTTGTTACCTAGTGGGTTTACTAAAACTCCACCAAGACCGCACACCCAATTTTCTCTGTGAGGTTCATAACAAGCATCTGTGTAAATGGTCCAGACTGAATCCGACGCCAACTCCAAACTTCTGGGTTTGGCATAGTTTAGAAAAATTGTAAACCTCCTCAAGGCATCAACCGTTTGTTTTTCCAACTTATCACCACGGTTCTTGAAAGCATGATTGGTGATGGCTTTCATGCACAGTTTTCCCAAACGACCCAAAACCTGTCCATCTGCAAACTGCATCCTCCCTCTGAGTTTCTGGGATTCCAAAACAGTCATTTTTCCCTTTTTGATAATATCCCCTATGGCATCGCTCAGTTCTCTGATACGCTTCTCAGTGTTGATGAAATTGATTCGTCCCAAATGAGCATCCACCAAGTTTATGCGTACTCCCAGCGCCGAGAATTCATCATCAAAACAAGTAGCCTTATCGCCATCCACTGCAAACTTCCAACCCAGCAGTTTGAACAAGAGCTCAACTGTGGTTTCAGTATTGTTGACATGGCTCTCTTGGGAGAAAACCACATAATCATCGAAGAACACGCTCCACATTATTTTCAAGGCTTTGACCCCCGTGTACCAAATTGCATGCGATATGCGAAGAAAAGAATACACACTTCTGGTTGCTCCAAACGGTGTCGCAAGCAACTGATACACCTCAGCTTTTTTCTTGTAGGGGCTGTAGACGGTGACAAAAGCAAACTGCAAGGATGACTCAGCTATGGCAAGTTGCTTATACGCACTTTTCAAATCGAAAGACCTGCCTTTAATCTTTGCTCCTCCACTGCTTTTCAAAATTGTCAACAAAAGGGCGGCCACAAAATCAATCGACTGCGGTTTTGGCGATTCAGCACATTGCACTGTTTGGTTGACGTTGCTGGCTGACAAATCATCTATTAAACGGATTTTCCCCGGCTGTCGAAGACCAAAGCGTCTGCTCACAATTGCATCTTCTGGCAAGTCAGTTACATCCAAAGGTCCTGACGCCCATCCCAGTTCCACTTCTTCTTGAGTTTTCTTCCAGACAAGCTCATCGATTTCGGCGTCTCCCGATGATCTGCAACTGTAATACTGTTTTCGCTTGATTGGTTTTGCTGCCTTGCACAAACTCTCCACTGTTGTCTCTTCTGGTTTGAAAGTTTTTTCGAAAATGCCATAGGTAGGAACTTCCCCCACAAGCTCAGTCCCATTCGAAAGCTCTGACACCACATCTGCATCGGGATACCCTATGTCCAACAAAATTTCTTTCCAAAGAAGGAGTCGCTTTGGTTTCAGAATGTTTGCAATGTGATCCGGCATGCTTGCCTTCCACTGAAGCTCTTCCGCTGTAAGCTCGTTAGCTCTGGCTGTCCATTTGCTGAACCACTCTGCTCTGAGCCGGGGCAAGTGGCTAAGGTCCCCGTTTTGGAAATTATGAAAAACAGCCTCCATCAATACAGGGGGCACAAGCGTTGAAATCAGTTTTGGATGTCCTCTGTTCACAGCTTCTTGAATGAACTCTTCAGGCAAAAAGGGGATACCCCACGCTTGTTCTATACCAGTTTTTTGCTCCTTGGCCGAATCTGAAGAGTGTGCTGCTATACCCCCCATTGACCGCAGTGGTGTAACCCTTAACAGTTGTGCGCCTTCCGGCAGAACTCGCACTGCAGAGTCGCATTCAACTGGCACATGAAGTGGAGACTTGAGCCTCTGCATTGGTTCGACTGGCATGCTATTAAGCAAGGCTGCTGGTCCTCGTACTACAACGACCTGTTTATGATCCCTCACAACTGGAGGGATCCGAGAAGCCTTCGGCTGAGCAGTGGCTATTGCCCTCATAGTTTTCAAAGGAATTTCATTCGATTGTGGCTGGAAAAATTCATGTGGTGGACTCCACCCATGCTGTATCAAGATGTCTGCAAATGCTTTGGCAATTGCTCGAGCTAAGCCTCGAGGATAAGCTGCTTCTTCACTAGTTGAAAAATGTGTACCTTGTTCAGAATGTACGATACCCCAAGGCTTGTGTACATGCGACGGTGACTCACCTACACAACACAGATTGATTTGACTGAAACGATGATGATTCCAGGCAAGCACTGTCCATTTCGGTCTAACTCCTCCGTAAGCACACGCCTGATGAGACGTGTAATGAAAATGCTTTGCAACCGACTTCCAAAATCGAGTCTGCCAAAAGAGTGATGATCTGGGGTTTTCCACAACTATGATGAGCCCTATGGTCACGGCCTCTTTGATTATTTCGGCTAAGAACTCGTAGAGCCTATTTGCCGCAGACACCCTGCGACGGTCCTTGTCTCGTAGACCTGACAAACCTTCTGGAAATTCAGGTGATCTCAATGGTACAGGTCCTGGAATTTTCCTGCCAAAAGAATCCCTAAGCTGTATGTTTCTAGCCAGCGAGCATGTACCACATGGCGGCGCCCAGAAAAGGCCAACCACTAAAGGTGATTTCATCCACTGCTTGAAAATCTTTTGGTCTTCTTTGACTGTCAAATCCAGTTTCTTCGCAGTCGCAATGGCCTTATCAACCTCGTGATCGACTCCGAAAGATTCAACCAAACCGAGCTCCTTCAAGCTTGCTGTGACCCGCGCACTTCCACAAAAAACCTCTATGATCACTGGACAAGTGATTTGCTCAGTTGAAAAAGAAAAATTGCTTTGATTGAGATGGCTTCGCATTTCAACTGCACCAAATTTTTCAAAATTGTCGCTACCAACTTCAGTCTGCTGCTGATGTGAAGGGGGTTGATTTTCCCTGCACAATTGCTCAGATGCCTGGAGAACTGTGGAAAATTGTTCCTCTTTGCCAACACGCTCACAGCATGGATTAGTGGCGGAAGGATATACGCACTGAGATTTGGCTACCACAACATCCACAAAATTTGGAACTTCCAAGGCAACATCTCTGAAAGACCTACCACCTGATGCTTGTGCTTTATCAGTTGATAAATCTGAGGTCACGGCTTTGGCATGGAGTCAATTCCCATGCTGCAAAATGCTGTGGGACGCGTAACACTTGGAGCATATGTGCAGCCCCCTGCGGCACTTGGCGCCGTCTGCTGCCTCTGAACAACCTCCTTCTGAATTGAATCCAAAACAAATGGGCTCTCCTTCTGGGTTGGAAGCTGTGCCGCCCAACTTGAAAATGTGAGATGGCACTCGCTGCTTGGATTTACCTCCTTTCTTGCCTCCCTTTTGTTTCAACCAAGGCTTCTGTGTACTGCCAACTGTTCCTTTTCCACTTGTCCAAGGCTGCTGCGGCTTGTTCTTTTTCTGATTGTTTCCAGGGCTATCCTTTTTCGCTACCAAAGGAAGCAGGCTGAAAGAAACTCTGTAACTCTCCAGGGCACTGAGAAGCTTGGTGTCCAGGGCCAGCACGCCTGCATCGTCCCGCTTTGGTTGCACTCCATCTTCCAACAAAGCCTGCCACACAAGTTTGTCAGCAGCCACAGTTTGACTCACTGAGCACCGACTGTACCCTGCCGGGGGCTCCCTGTGCAAATGAGAAAACAGTGTAGTGAGATACCTGGTGTAGTTTGCATGCTGGATCAGGTCCGCAAACACAAGGGCCAAACCTCTACGTTGCAGGGCTTCTTGGACCTGTAGCGCTGAGGATACAACCATGTCTTGAACTTCAGTCTTCTCCTTAACAATCAAACTCTCAGATGAGATGTCCAGCATTTTCGAAGGGCTCTTCTGCGTGAGCACTTCATGAGACCTGCTCACAGATTTTTCAGGGGGTATGTAACGAACTTCGTTTTGTTGGTACATACTTGCTGCAAGGTCAAGTAGTGAGTGTCCAGGTTCGAGTGGACCTTCGATAAGCAACCCGCACAACTGGTTTTTCAATTGCCTCATTTTTGTTTCACGCTCCGCAGTTGGCACCTTCTTGATGGAAGTGCTGTCAGGGGTGTTCACTGAATCCTGCAATGCCGCTAGGACCATAGTTTGCGATTCGAATAGAAGCCTTTTGGCACCTGCAATATCAGCAACACTTGCTCCTGTCAAAATGTTTGAAGTGAGCCACGATTCGAATGCTGAGTCCACAATGTTTTGCCCCGGCTGTCCATGTGCATAAGCCAATGTCCCAAATGTCTGTAAGCTTGCAACCTTAAGGCTCCTCTTCAGTTCGTCTGACAGTTTGAGGTCCAGCGTCCTCTGAATAAACTGAGCCTCTGAATCCAAAAGAGACGCCATCGTGAGATGCCGTGTGGACACCTGCTAACACTGCAAAATGTTGAAAGGTCCGTGCACAAATCCTTTGGAAAAATTATGATCAAGTAAGTATGAACTGCAGAGTTTCGTATACCCATATGTCTCAACCTGCAACTCCCGTCAAAGTGTAAACTATGTGAACATTTCGACATGCTAATATATATTTAGAAGAACCCTGATGCCAGTCTATTCTATCACAACTCTCAGAGCCAAGTGCATCATGAGAACAAGGATGCCATGCAATCCTGAATGGAATGAAAAACGCGGATGCCATGCAATCCTGTCTGATGCTATGCATCATGTTGGGTGCACAACCCAATCACTCACCATGTGAGGGACGGCCACCGCACCTATTTTAAACCGGCGGCAACAATCCGTCTTTGACCGCATTCACCTTGCACCTTCTGCAAAGTGCAACAGTGTCAAAATTGACAGCGATCTCATAATTCACGTTCAACGCTCTTCCGCATGATAAAACACGTTTGCAATCACCCTTCAAGTCTCCCACCACGGAGTCTGAATAGTGCACCATTTTTGAGGTCTTGTGGAACACGAATCGGCCTGCCAAATGGCCTTTTGCAGTGTGTTTATAACACTTGGGCTGAGGAGGCTTCACCTCTTCTTCTGAACTTGACGACTCCTCTGCCGAGGAATCACTTGAAGAACTGTGGTGCTCAGAAATGTCACCTTTGTCCATTTCTTCGTTGTCTCCAGCAATTTCCTGTGAAGGCGAGTCATCTTCCACCTTCACCACATTGCTGACACCCAGCTCGGTCTGAAGCCCACCTTCTTCTGCACAGTACCCCCTGCGGGGATTGTCAGGCTGAAACTCGAAACGTGAAATCCTCAAAATGATGTCCTGCAATTTCATCACTGATGCCACAGCAAGGTCACGCGAATAAACCGCATGTGCTTCCGTAGTCGCACTTGCGTGTCTCCCCAAAATAGCTTTGTCAGGGATTGGCAAACCGAACTTTGATGCCCATGACAGCGCAGTAGCCTTGAGGCTGTGTGACGACACACGGGGTCCATCAGTGCTGACCTCATTGGTTTCAAAAAGAAGCCTCAGAAATTTTGTCACTTCCGATGAGGTTAAACCTCGTTTGCATAGGCCTCCACCAACTGCCATGGGAGGTCTAAAAAGAGGCCCCTGAATTGTGCCCTCCAAGACCAATCCACAAGCTGAAAAGGCGTCAATGGCCTCTTGCACCCAAACTTCTCCAGTAATCCCAATTGCAGGAATGACGATTGGGAGCAGCTGTGATTTTTGGGATGCGCTCTTGGCTGTTTTGTGCAGCCTTGTTGCGACCTCTATGAATCCTCCTTTCTCATCGAAGTCAAGCATCACACAATCCACTGCAGCCAAATCGCTGTGTCTGCACCTGCCGTAGAGAGCCAGGAGAGCATAGGCTGCAAGCGCTCTGTCAATGAAATTGGCTGCCTTGTTTTCCATCAAATTGTGCAATGCCACAACCTGTGCAACAGACAGGACCTTTGCCTGCTTGAGTGGGTTCTTTCCAGAGCGCATGATCTCTGCAAGTCCCCTCACCCTTCTACTGTTGTATACGCTGTCAAAGTCTTTGAATCCAAACACGTGCAACGCGTAACCACAAGCAGCCAAAAAACTGGACGCTCTTGTAGGAGCAGCTCCATCAGATCTAAGCTTTGCCACGTAGTTCCACGCAGCTTGCTCGGTCACAGGTTTGCCATCGTCCTCCGTGAAGTCAGCCCTCCACCTGAAAAATTTGAGCAACGCATTTGCCCTCGAGATGGCAGTGGTCCTTGACCTGACACCGATGATTGCCTCAATTGTCTCATAGGCTCCCAGTTTTTGTTCTTGGATGTTCCCGCCATGTCCAATGATTGTTTGGCCAACCTCAGACCCTAACAGGTTGATTCTGATAATACTGAACCACTTGTCAATGGCCACATCCAAAGCCTCCTGTCGCTTTTCCAAAAAGCTCTTGTCCGTCACAACAGATAAAGCTCTCTCAAACAGGGCTCCTGACAATGCCACACTGGGGGCCTCAACCATCTTAGGTTCCGGTGCAACCACATTCTGTGCCAAAATGTCAGATGTCTGGACCCAACCTCTCAGTTGCTGCTTTTGAACCTTCAAGCTGTCGCGGCCTTTGGAAAAGATTGTCTTTGCAACACCTTTCTCCCAGGGCATAACCACTGACATGGGCTCTGCAGTTTTGATGAAAGCATCATGCAACATCTGTGAAAAATTCCCGTTATCCAAGACTGGACCTCTGGGGACCTGTGCAGCTCCTAAGTTGGAAGCATCGGCAGTCCTCTTCGATCTACCCTTGCTCGAATCATCTCTGGCACTGGCTGCACTCCGCAAGACCCCAAATGCAGTTGAGGAATCAGTCACATCAAAATTTGACTCCAGATCATTGTAACCTTGCAAAACTGTCTCTCCAACATGTTCAAAGCCAAAATCAGTGTCTGAGTGTTCAGCATCGGCTCCAAAAAGGTTGCCATCAAAACTGAGTTCAAGTTGACGACCTCGATCAGACCTGTCATCTAAATTGCCTGAACCACTATCTTCGAAAGAGTCACCAGTCTCCGTTTGCATCGCTTTGTATTGCGTCAAGGTCTTCATCCTCCAAGGCATTTGCAACACTTGCTGGAACACTAGATTCGTTGCTGCTGACTGAATTGTCCCAAACTCCCCCCCCTTGGCCGACAGCAGGTTGTAAAAACACTTGCAAAGGAGGAGTAGGAACTGAAAATCCAGAAGCACTATACTGTAGCCTGAGTGCAGTGCCCGACAGCAACAGGTCCTTCTGCTCGATGAGGAGAGCCAAACAGGATCGCAAAAAACGGTGAGTCTCTGCCGGTTCCAAATTTGACACAATGAAAATTTGTATGCTGAACCAGTCCGGTGTATCCAAAAGAAACTCCGTTTGCCTGTTACAAACTGAAATGCGATCCAAACTCACCCACATGCACTGAGGAAGCGACCCAGGAATTACTCTGAAATCAACCAAAGAATCCAGCAAATTGCAGTGAAAAATCCACAACCAAAAATGAGGAGTTCACGACCACCAAGGCGAGGTTGAGCGACTGGCACCGGTTGAAGCACCACTGGGCTAGATATGGCTATCCGGCCCCGCGCCCGAGCTCCCATATAGGAGCAGGCAAAACAACCTCAAAATAAGAGGTGTCCCACCACCCACCCTCAGCCAAATTCCACGGCCATAACATAAAATGAAATGTCCACCGAAGTTTCTGAAGGATGAATTGCAATTCAGACATTGTAAATGAATCCAGATTCCGAAACCTGTGAATGTGTAAAACACTCTGTTGAAACGCAGCATCATCACAAGTGTTTGCAAATAAACGGTTCAGTTTCACTGTTCAGTTGTTGACCTTTGGTTCAGCATAGAAACCACGAAGAGTGATAGGAAGGTAAGACAGAGGGAGATAGCAGCACGAAACTTTGTTTCTCACAAGTTTTGAAATAAGGAGCTATCAACAAGTTGACCGCTTACAAGGTTCACCTGCAACATTGCAAACGTCTCCAACCATACCGGTGTCCAGTCCACATCTGTAATGCCCTGGATCGGACACACAACAGGTAGGAAACGCATCTTCTTCTTCAAGGAAGTTGCAGTCTTGTGGAATGAGGTCTCTGTTTCAATGAAGCCAAAAAACTGACCCTCATACTCATTCCTGTCAACCCACATGCGATGAACGTACTGCAAGTCTGACCATCTGGACCGTGAAAAAATTGCAAACAAGACTGCTCCAAGCATGTACTTGTCAATTGTGTCAAGATGCCCCATCATCAAATTTTCCAATTTGGCGACCTCATGGGCCTTCATAGGCCGTGCGGGACGATACACATCCCGTGACAGCATCAACCTCTGAGCACGACCCTTCAACTGCGGATCCTGTAGCAGGGCATCTTGTATTGGTATCTGCATTACATACCTGGCAAACCTGAGAGCCTCCAAAAATGACATGCCCAAACTTGCTGCGGGTGTACGCGCATCTGTTGACCGTAAATAATCCAAGCAATGCGATCTCTCCCAGGGCTCCCAGTCACTGCAAGACTCATGCAACCATCTGAAATATTGCATCAATGTCTATGCTCTCTTTACAGCAGTTCGAGGGGATTTGACACCCAGGGCGTCTCTCAGGACCAAACCATGTTCCGTAGGATCTGCAAAATGCAGCTCATTTTCCAATGCAACTCCCAACTGCCCAGGAAAACCAAGGACCTCAAAGACCTGTAACCATTTGTCAATGGCCCCAGTCCACAATACCTCCTGCTCGGCAAACATGTCTTTGTCTGGTTTGACTTTGATTGCAAATGAATAAAACGGCAGCTCAAGGTTCCGACCAGCAACCTTCTGTGATGCAGACTGAGATGCAGACGCTGTAGTAGTTGAATCCAACTGGTCAGTAAAACATAGATACTCTGCAGGCAAAGTTGGTATGCCAGCCGCATCATTTGTTTCTGAAAAAATGTCACCCATCACACCAGATTCCCAGGGGTACTTTAACTCCGTGTCGCCCAAGCTCTGGAGCCTGGCCTCAAAAAGAGCCTTGTTAACATCTGCTCTCGAGAAAGGTGTGTCAATGCATGATGCAGGTTGTGTCACATCAACATGAGATTCAAACCCTTCAGCATCTGATTGAATTGCATCCTGTCCAAAAAGATTGACAAGGTCAGGACCTGAAGGTGATTCATCTGGTGGTGCCTGATTCGATTCCTGGACATTCAACACAGAGGGTGACATGTTGCACTCGTTTGCATTGTCAAGCATGCTAGAAAAACTCTCAATTCCCTCTGCGCTCATCTTCAAGGTGCTCTCTGTACCTGTCCAGTTCCTCCAAGATGTCCACGAGTTCCACGCTGATACAATAAGTTGTACAGCAGAAAGCACTCAAATCGCTGATGGACAGAAAGGAGAAAACACGGATACAAGAAAAATCACTGTAATCCCAAAGGCACCAAGTAATGTTGAAAATCTGAAATTCAGTCAAATTGTCGTACCTGTCATCCAAGTCTAAACGACGTGCCATCATCCACCCATGGCTGCACAAAAAACGAATCACGTAAGAAACGTTGAACCCTCCCACCCTCCCTTTGGAGGTATTGAACTTGAAATGGCCACCATTGGCATTTAGTTCAATTTACACCTGTGTGCAAAAGATTCAGCAGATGTTTACAGAAAACAACAAGCTGAAAAAACTTAAAACCGAGTTGGGGAAAACAGTTCACTGAAGAGTTACAAACGTAAAATATACAAGTTGATTGCAGAGAACGTTTGCATTCAAACGCACAGCCAGTAACCTCTTCAAGTGATCACCCAACTCAGAAGTTTCCTCAGGTTAGAAGTTTCCATCGCAACGCGCGCGAGAGGGAAAGAGGAAACGCAAGGTGCACACGCAAGAGAGGAAGGGAACGGGAAGGAGAAGGATCAACTAGAAGCTGCATTCAGCTTCTTTTTCTTTACGCAAGGAATAAGGTTACATCAGCGCGCTGAGTCGCAACTTAGTTACACGTGAATTTGAAACATCTATGCCTTGGACAACTGCGGCTCGATGTGTCACACATTGATTGAATTTGGGATATTGTTTTTTGAGCGCATCCCAAATGAGATTGGGAACGAAAGCGCCAGAGTTGAGCAAGTTCAGGAAACATCGCTCCAACTTCCCTACTACCAATGTAGTTAGACAAGTCCCACGGCACAAAACAGGAGCAGGAGCTTTGCCCCTCATCCTACGGCTGGGTGGGCAAGTGCATTTACGAGCTGTGGCAACTTTAAGTTTAGATCGAGCGCGGTCAACAATCTGATCATGATCCGGTGGCTGGGTCAAAAAGTTCCTATTCACAAAAGACTTGATCAAATGAATTTGCACAGCTAGAATACAGTTGACATCACACACACTATGACATACAGAATGTTGTTGAAACAGTCGTTGGCATAAACTCTTAGCTAATGCGTCTGCTTTTCCATTGCCTTCAGTCAGTAAAACCAGTGTCTTGACTGGGGTCACGTCCATGAGCTGATACTTTAGATACATGTACAGTGTACAGTTCGATGGTTTAAACTTGCTTCAGCGGCTATGAGTGTCCACAAGTCAAAATTGTCCCAAGATCGCAAAGATGAAATGCCTTCTGCATTACGACTTTGTTCACGAAATCCTTTGACTATGGTTGCGCAATCGGTAAAAATATGGGCGTCTCCGTCTGTTACCTTTAACGCCAGCAGGATCGCTCCCAGCTCGGCTCTTTGTGAACTTTGGTCGAGCCCTGGAAGGGGTCTTGCCAGTTGCAATATTTGCGGAATATATACTGAGCAAGCTGCCGACTCTAGTCTACCCGACTCTGAGCGAATAAAACTGCCATCAGAAAAAAATCCGGTCGCCCGGTTGAAGTACATGTCTTGGAGGTAAATCGCTAAATTGGAATGGTTGGTCTTGTTGTAAACGGAACTGTGTGTCTCGCTCGCTTTCCCATAGAACACCCATGGTCCATGACGTATCCGGCATTTGCACTGAAACTTCCGGCGGCGGATTCATTGGACAATGTTTGGACATATGCAAGAGGTCATCGTCTACATCGCAATGTTCGCATTTTCGGGAATTTACCAGGCCTGCTTTAAATTTACGGGGCCCGTCAAAAATTGATCCGGCAAAGAAATTTTGGATGATATTCTGGGCATGGTCAAGTTTGACCGGTAAATTCCGCAGTTGTTCTACTAAGCCAGGTGCAGGTACTACAGTGGAGAAGTCGTTGTCGAGGAAAAATCGCGTTGCGAACAAATTAATCACACCGTCCCGCGAGTCGCCTAAGTTGTCATGCCTTATTGGGGATCTACGGAAAAGTGAACGCCTGACGGGTCGTTCCAAGTCATTGTCGAAAAATTTGCTGCTGCCATAGAGGAGTTTGAAGTCTGTATCGCCCGGCCGTTTGAAGGACAAACCGTCGGCCCAATCCCATTCCAATTCCTGAACGACAGCGGCCAGAACCGCTGGAGCACCACCAGAGGAAGTTCGAATGGCATAAGGTTTGATCTGTCGGGCTTGAAAGACTTTTGCCACCAAGTCGGGCCGACGGCGGTGTAACTTTCTATATGTGATCAAGACATGTCTAACCCAAATAGCAAGGATCAATATTTAGAAATGGTCAGAAAAGGGCATCTTCATTTGAGACTCTTTCATAGGATGTGATCTTCTCCCTGATGTCGATGTAGCTGGTGCTGTCAGTAATAGAAAGCTGGATTTGTTCTCGAAGCCGGGGCTGGCAGCATTTGATGAGTGTTGCCGCCATCAACTCCTTTGGATCAATACTTCCACTGGCCTGCTCATACTCAAGGACCAACTGCTGTAATTCAAGATTGATTCCGACGCAGAACGGTCTTTGCTGAATGCAGGGTAAGACCCAAGTGCTTGGGCCAATGCCAAACTTCTCTGTCTGGTGCTCGGCATAAACTCCTGATTCAAATTATGCCAGAATTTGAAACCATCCTTTGTTTGCGCCTCAGCTCTCACCATAGGGGCGCATTTGCCCCTGAGGTAAGAAGTCAACACAGCATACAATTTCTGGGCCATGGTACGCTCATCTGCATTGTAACTTGCCCATGGGGGCGCTGAGTCCTTTGTCTCCAAGAAGTCCAAGGCATCAGAGTATCTGCTGTCACCAAAGCAAAGTCAGCTTGTAAATTGATGTTTCCATTGTTGAAAAGCCATCACATCATCTCCATTGAAGGTGTCTGGAGGTTTGAGGATTCTAGGATTCTAGAAGCAGCTTGAAGACCATCGTTTGAACCAGCCCCACCTGTCGTTGGTGTCCTTCTCAGGGCCTCTTCTGCAGCCACTGCAGCACGAGTTGTTGCTTCTGCCATGGAAGCCATTCTTTGGAGAAAGGCTTCCTGCATTGTCACCTGTTCCTCCATCGCATGGGCGCTTGACATCCCACACAAAATGATCC